GGCAGCGCCTGGCACCTTCACAACCCTGCCAGGCCAGGGCCCCTCCTGGGATCCCTTCCACGTGCCCCTTGGCTGCTCTTACTTTCTAGCAGGTGAACAGGACTAGGAGGCAGGCCCACCCATCTGCAGTACTGTGACAAATTGATTAACAGGTTGGCCAGGGACAGAGGTACCTGCTGGCGCTTGGGTCCAAAGACCTTCTTACAGGTCTTGTAACAAAGCCTCGCGCCCCCTATAGCTTGCTGTGGGGTTGAGATGGCTATTGGTGCTGGGCAGCAGGGAGGCCTCATGTTGCCCTCTGGGAATTGGGATGAATGCACTTGCCTTGCTCACCCTGCGCCCATCCTGCCCGAGCAGGGAGCCCTGATGGACGCAAGAGCGGAGCGGAGCCCGTCCTGACCCCTGCCCCACGCGGCTGCCCCGTGCCAGGCCCTGTGACTATGGATGAGTGGAAACCCAACCCCGTCGTCAAGCCGCACAAGAAGCGGAGCTGGTATCTTGCTTGGAAGTACAAGCTGATGAACCAGCGGGCGCTGCGGAAGCTGTGTCAGGTGAGTCAACTACAGGCTTGCCGTGGATTAGGGACTTTACAGGGTTTACGAGCTTATGGAGCAGCTGCGTGGGGGGAGGTGGGTCTGTCATCAGGCACGTGGGTGATCTACGTGCTGGGGAAGTGTAACTTTTCCTGAAAAAAGCCACCCCAGTGGCTTTGTGCTCATGCCTTGAGGGGTTTGCTGCGTCTAACAGTTCCTTCTTGCTGCAAACAGACCTATTGGGTGGTTATGGCAGGAGATACAGTTCTCCAGGCTTTCTTGGGAGATTCTCAACTAGGAAAGTTACCGATTACTCTTTTCCCAGCCCGATACCAGTGCCGAGTGCAGCAGTGCTCTGCCTGTAGTGGGAAAGCAGCCTGGCATGCACGGTTTGCAACCTAAGCCTGGTATAAGGCACAACAGGTGGACCAAGCAAATAAGGCTGGGTGAATAATGGGATCTCATGCCCAGAGGCAGCTGGCGTTTGAGAAAGCCAGAGGCCTTGTTGCTTATGCTATAAAACTGCTAATCCCAGGCCGTGCTGGCATCCCAGTGGGTGTCTCGAGGAGTAAGGACAGGAGGATATGGCCCCGTGGCTCTGACCTGCAGAAAAGGGGGTGTTCCTGAGATGAGCAGAGCTTGATGAAAGTGGGCAATCAGTTGCTATGGGAGGGAGGAGGGGAAGGTGTTTTGTTTGCCTGGGAGGAGAAAGTCTTGTGAAGACTTCCTGGGGAAGGAAACTGCTCAATCCTGCGTCCTGGAGGGGAATGGAGCTCCTCTTTCAGGACAGGTGTTGTTTGCTGTGCTCCTTTCCCTCCAGGCGCTTTAAATCCCATTAAAGACCTTGGGGGATTGTGCCACCTTCACAGCAAAGGCTGGTTCTATCTTAGCCTGAGCCTTACCGTATTCAGTGCAGTTCATTAGAGCCCTCGCTGCTGGAGTCAAGTGATTTCGTATAAATCTTGTCCTCCTGCATGTCTAAACAAAGGCTCGGCTTTGGAGACTGGGGAGGAGTGGAGGGGGTGTTTGTCAGCCGCTGTGGCCTAAAACGCAGATGAAAGTTGAGCTTAAAAATATTACAATTAGAACTGCAGCTATAAAGTAGCCAAGTCCAGAGCAACAAAGCCTCTATCAGCAGTTCTGACTGAGTTCACTGTCCTACCCTGGCTGCTGGTCCTGCTCGGTGCTGTTCCTGTCCTGTGTCAGCTCTGCTTGGTAACCTGGGCTGGAAATTGGGTCTCCCTGGTGGGCTGTTTTTCTGCTTCTCTAGTGTCAACCAGGCTGTGTGGTCTAGGAGAGCTAGTAAGCTGGCCCTGCTGCTGGCCATGGCACAGGGCCTGCTTTTAGCCACAAGCCCAAGGTTCTCTTCTTGGCTAATTAAAAAATTTGTGCCGAGATCTACAGAGGTGCTCATATTCGTGAGTCAGTGACAAATTGACAAGCCAGAATGCCATAGTGGCACTTATATTATCAGGCTGCCTACCTGTCCGTCTGTTATCTTGTTACTATTTTTCCACATTTATCTTCCTCAGGTACTTCTTCAACACATTTGGCTGCCCAGGAGAGGTAGCAGGAACATGTAGCTTTAAGGCAATAGATTGCCAGGTGAGGGGGATCCTTTTAGTGCCTCTTACCAAGGGCAAGCTTGTGTGTGATCTGAACCCCATACCAGACCTTGGAGAATCTACCTTAGGGAAAGTGCCCTAACAGGAGTCCTAGAGGTGAAAAAGGCACAGATATTGAGGAAACAAGTTGTTGTGGACCTGGAGGCTTGTGGGGCAACTTGTTTTGGGTTAGTCTTTGCACAGGTGATATGAGAAGAGAGTCCCAGAACTATTCAAGCTCTGTCCCTCATAGCATCCCCTTGAGGTCATGTTTCTCCCAGCTTCACCCTTAGGGGACCCACACTGTGAGCAGCCTTCCCTCAGCCCATCCCAACCTCTTTCTTCTGCTCCTTTGTTGCTGTGACACCTCTACATAGACTTACTTCCTGTCCTGGGACGCTCCATGGAGGTTAGCAGGACCCTGAGCTTGCAGGGAAGGCCAGGGTTGGGCTGAGGGGCCACGGCCTTGGGGCCATGAGATGAATCTGTCAGCAGCAGCAGTATGTAGTGATGGTGGCTCTGCTATGAGCTGGAAGGGCCTTCTTGGCATGGAGGCTCGTGGGGGAGTCCTACAGCTGTCCTGGCTTTGTGAGTAGTGGGTGCTCATGGCTTTCTCTCTTGAATTTGATGACAGAACCTTCCCATCGCTGCGTGAATGTCCAGGGCAACAGCCAGGGCTGCTAGACCTGTACCTTGGTGCTGGGGCAGGGCTGTTGCTGCAGGGCAGTGACTTTGTCGTTGAACAGAGCTCTGCAGCTGCCACATGCTGCTGTTGTCCTTCCAGCGTGAAGGAGCGCCCGGGCAAGCTCCCTGGGGATGAGCAAAGAGAGCTCACTTCAGTGAGGTCTTATCTTTAAACACAGAGCGTTCTGCATCCCAGCCCAACGCTGTAACCCTAAGAGCATCTTCTTGGGCACTGCCGGGTATGCTTTTGCAGCCTACTTCTGCAGGCTCATCATTTTCTGCCTCTGGATGTTCATGGTCCAAAATGTCTGTGTGGCTCTGTGTCTCAGAAATGGTTCTTTTGGTGTGGAATTCTCGCTCTCTGGGCTGAAATATCAGGAAAAAGACTAAAATTGGGGAAGAGGGGAAAGGATGCGTTTAAAAAATACATGTGCTTGTAAAAAGTGTTGCAGTTTCATCTCTCTCCTTTTGCTCTGGGAGCAGCGGTGCCATGGGAAATGGTGGTACTCACATCAGAGGTTCCCGTGGTGTGCTATATAAACACCATGGACCTCTCCATAGCCCTGAGCATCTACATCCATGAGGGTTGCCTTGCAGTTTTTTGCAGACAGTAAGGCAGTGAGCTGTTCTCTACAGCCCATGGCACAGTGCAGTTCCCTGAAGTTGAGCCTCAGCTTCTTGCCTTTGCCTTGCTTTAGTCCATACCTTATCTCTTCCTCCTTCTCAACTTCTGGATGTATCTGTTTGTCGTGCAAATGGCTGTGGAGACATCCTCTGGTTGCAGGGGGAGGGACAAATGCTGTAGGAGGGGCAGAATTAAGGTTACTGTAGGAGCTGTAATTCTAAATTACCAAACTCTTGGTATGCAGAGATTCTCAGCCTTGATGCAATATTTTAGCAGCGGTCTACTCACAGATCTGGAAGCAGGGACGTGTTGGAAGTGGGCTTGTTCTTGTATATCAAGAGTTCGGTGCTTTCCTGGAGATGAAAGCATTTCATCCTAAAACTCTGTCATCTCTTTCTTTCTCTTTACGTTCCGCAGAAGATAATAGGGAGAATGACAGATGCCAAAGATCCCTTGCAAGATCTACGTGGGGTGCCCTGCAGCCTCCACCAGGTAGCCTGGTCTCAGGGTTGTTACTTGCAAGTTGCTAACAGAGTGTCCTGCTTTGCAGACAGGTGCTGTCCTTTTCCTGCTTGTGACTGTGATTGTGAACATCAAGCTGATCTTGGACACCAGGAGAGCTGCTTATGAGGATGAAGAGGAGTCCACGCAGGACTATGGTGAGGGGCAGCACCCTCCTTTGAAAGCAAGGAAACTGGGGAGAAGGGAGTAACCTGTCATCAGCTACAGCATGAAAGACAGCTCTTTGCATGTCGGTTTAATAAAAATAAATGAAACAGGCTGTTCCCATCGCTGGTCTATCTGCTTAAGGGTTCAGCTGAGGAGTGGGACAGAGGGTGATGTCAGGGTGATGTCTTTCTCACGTTTGGCTGCAGAGAGCTTTATGGGGATAGCTGAGGCCAGATCTGTTGCCACGTTGCATTTTCCCCACCCGCTGTCCCAAAGATTCTGGCCCATGGCTTGTTTGACTGGCATACCTGGTGGGTATGAAACCCAGGAGGGGTGGCTGGGCCTAGCACTGAGCAGAGACAATGCCACAAGTTCCGGGGCTGGTTGAGACTGGGCGTTCCTCCTCTGCAGACGATGAGATGCTGAACGTGGAGGTCCCTAGGCACCCTGCCAGCTCCAGGAAGGTCTTGGATGTTGAAGTGTACTCCAGCCGATCGAAAGTCTATGTGGCTGTGGATGGGACGACGGTGAGTGGCCGATGCTGGCTGTTCCTGTCAGCAGAGGATGGATGGGGCTGAATGGGTGAAGTCTTAGGCAGTGAGAGCACTTCTGTGGCTGGCAGAAGGTATGGAAGAGGATCCTCCTCCTGCCTACAGGGACACAGAGCTGTTGTCCCACATCGTCTCCTACTCTGGCACCCACTGATGCCATGAGCAAAACCAGAATGTCACAGGAGAGATACTTGCCTCTTGTTTGGGGGCCCTGTTGTGCTGAACAGGCAGGGTTGCAGGGTTGGGGCAGAGAATAAGGGTCTTGGCTTATGACTCTCATCACTTCTCCACTTGCAGGTCTTGGAAGATGAGGCTCGGGAGCAGGGAAGAGGGATCCATGTCATCGTCTTAAATCAAGCTACGGTAAAGCTGTCTGCACGTGACTTTCTCACTAGGTGATGTTTGTCCTTCCTGTTGACCTGTTGCATGTGAGCCAGAAGTCCCTGAATGCTTGTTTGCCTCTACTTGCCAGAGCAGGATGTGGTGACCCAAAGTGTCCTCATGGTGTTCCTCTTGTGTTTGCCTAGCTTAGAGAAAAGCTTTTATTGGTTTCAGTCAATCCCAGACCGGAAGAATTGTGAACCCCAACAGGAATGTCCTGGGGAAGCAGTCAGAAGAGGGGTGGTGAGGTTGGGTAATGCCATCCCACGGACCTCAGGGTGCTCTGTGTGAAGGTGCAAGGGCTGAATTGAATTTGCCGGGGTACTCGTTCCCTGGCAAGAAAGGTAGTTCATCGTGTTGTCTAAGGACAGAGGCTTCAAGGGCAAATATCCATACCGCTGCGTGTCCTGGCCGTACAGAATTTAAGGTGCATCTGGTGTTTGAACACCAACAGGGTCACGTGATGGCCAAGAGGGTCTTTGACACCTATTCTCCCCATGAAGATGAAGCCATGGTACTCTTCCTCAATATGGTTGCCCGGGGCCGGATTCTGATCTTCACCATTAAGGTAGGTGTCAAAAGAAAATGTCACCTTGAGTCAGGTCACCCTAAAACTCCTGTCATTTCCTGAATGTCACTGTGCACTCCCAGGGCTCAATGTCACACCCCCAGCTTGGCTATGTCTCTCTGGCTTCATCAGTTCCCTCATCCCCTTGCTCCCCTTTTTTACTGCACATACTGCTGTGTGCCCAGGCGTAAGGCCAGAGAGCAAAAAGAGCATGTGTGTCAGAGCTTGCAACCAAAAACAAGAGGCTAGGTGGAAAATGGAGACGACAAAGTATAAGTATGTGGTGGGGACCCTTCTGGGGGATGCTCTGTGCCAGTCCTAGCCTGTTTCACTTCCAGGCTGTTATGCGAGGGACTGGGGGCTATGCTGGCTCTAGGCTGCTGTGCAAGGTGCACTCTAGATCGTGCCACTTCAAGGTTGCAGGTTCAGCCCTGTGAAGCCTTTCTGGGCGTGCAGCCCTGCTCAAGAGCAATTTGATCATGAGGAAACCAGAGTCCATGACTCCTCTGACCTCCCTGTGGGTCATGGTAAAGCTGCCAGCAGGTTTAGTGCACAGAGGCTTAGCTGGCCTGAGAGTAGATGTGGACTCTGTACCCCCCCCCCCCCCCCTCCCTTGTGGGGTTTGTTTTGGGGGGGGGGGGCAGGCACAGACACAACTACTTGTCAATTCATGATAGCTTATCCAAACTAAGGGCTGAGTGGCCTCCCAGGCACACCAGATGCACCTATGACAATCCCCATCTTCACCCTTTCCCTTTCACCCACGCTTGCTTTGAAGAGCGCAGCTCCGAGGGGCACTAGAAAGCAGCGTAAACCATGACTTGATCTTCTGATTCTGTTCCCTGCGCACAAAATCCTTACGGAAACAGAAGGGAAGGAGGGCATTCAGGCTTTTGCAAGTATTAAGAGTTCCCAGCTGTGCTTTTTTTTTTTTTTTTTTTTTTTTTTTTTGTCTGCTGAATAGCCCTGCAGCCCAAGCTTCAGACTAGCCCTGCAGCTGGTCTCAAGCAGGGATCTCACAGGTCACGTGAGCAAGGAAAAGTGCCAAGAAAAACACCCAGCCCTGAACTATGTACAACTGCACAACAGAGCAAAACCATGGATCCTGTCACACTGCACAGCACACTTCAAGCTGTGTCAGTGGAAACCCTGAAACAGAACCCAACTAGAGGACAACGCAAACCTGTTCGTTCTCAGTCTCATCATTCTCCTGCAAACAGGGATCCAGACAGCTGTTTAACAACAAACCGGGCTTCCCAGCATAGCCTTGCTGTCCAATATGCTTCTGAGCATAGGGATCCTCCTCCTTTGTTGTTGGTGCTCATAAATGAAAGGCTGCCATTTACCATATGGGCTGAGCCACAAAAATCCCACAAAGCCTGCAAAAAGAGTCTTATTTTGTATGGCATATAAATAAGCGTCTGAGTACTGAGGTCTCCTGGGCTCAGTCAGACCCTGTTTCCTACTTGATCTCAGAGTAGGAGATTCTGAGGTTTCATTTCTTGGCACCATACCATAGTTTGAGCCAGACAAAGCTTATCTCTATCTACATTACACTCTGATAGTCGTGCATCCATTAATCAAACAAATTAGGATTTAGCTGCTCGTATTAACTGTTTACTTGTCTAAGAGTGGCCTGTAGTTAGTTGTTTTTCATCACACTGCAGTTCCCCCTCTACATACACACTACCCACCCTTTTTCATTACGTGGTTACGTATTTAGGTTTACTGCACTTTCACACTGACAGCGTACCGCAGTTGGGAATCACATGAGTCACAAGATACTGTTCATCGAGCATTAGTGCTGCCATTAGTGTGGACAGTTCAAACTGGGCAAAACGCACATCTCATGCATAATTTAATGGACTTCATATAGCGAGTCAAAGACCTGTTACTACAAAAGCTTAAAAAATAGACTATTTCTTTGGAGGGTCATCACTGGGAGATACTGAAACTAAGACAATCACTCTGCAGTATTAGCAGTTGTCTTCACACACAGCAGCAAGAAGTAGGTTACACATCACCTTTGCCTTCACCTCTCTGAGATGCTGCACCAATACCCTGCAAAGTCTTCTTGAAGCTAAAAAGCCATCCTCTTCTTCCTTTGAAACCTCCTGTTTTTCCTTTAGAAAGCCTTTACTATCCAACTATCTCCAGGGCTTCTTGTTTTTGATCCTGATAGTTCCTATTTGGCTGAGATAGAATATAAAACTCCTCAGGGGACAGTCTTCTGCTTTATGATACATATTTTTGCTTGCTTGTTTGTTTAAAAAAAAAAAAGCCAAACTTCCACGCAGTTTAATAATCTATAAGAATAAATAAACCAAAACCCCATGCAGAGTTTACTGCCTAGATAAGAGGCACGATAGACAATCTACAAAAGTGAACAGGAACACTGTTTATTGATTCTACCTGAAAACTGCTGGTATTTAACAGTGATTGACACAACAGCAAAGTCTTTAAGATAGATGCATTCACGTTACTCTGTATGCAGTCTTCAGTCAAGACAGGCTGAATCACACCATTTAGATCTGAATCACTGCAAAGTTCAGAGGATTCAGCTTACATTCTGCCACACGTATCCAGGCTTTACCATGGAGGGTAGATCAGGTCGAGGGACGAGGTTCTGGGAACAGGAGGCCTTGTGTGCTCTGCCCAAGCTCTACTACAGACCTGCAGCACGGCCTTAGAAAACTTGCACCAATTTGTGTGCTTCTGTTCCTCCTTCCATGCTTTGTCCGTATTTGCTACGGACAGCACCCAAAACGATGGGGCTCGAGGCACAGCTGGCTGTTGCTGGAATAGTGGCATTACCAAAATTACAAATGCCTCCATCCACTCGTTTGATTTTCCAGACTGTTGCTTCCTCCTTCTTGTATTTCCAAAATTTTATCAAGACAAGTTGCACACTAAAAGTTATTGGCTAACTGCTTCTAGAAAGCTCAAGTATTTCTACTTAAAATGAAGGGACAGTAGAAGAGAGTAATTTGTGAGCTTTACATGGGATGATTCACACATTGTGGTCCAATTCTTTTGCTACTTTCCTAAATTAGTAATTCAAAGAAGGCAGGTTGGTCACCATCCGATCTCCCTTACTGGGAAATGTTCCAAATAGTGCAAGAGGAAGTTACTGATAGCCTGTGACACAAAGGTGTCAATTGTCATTGACTTACCCTATTTATTATATCCACGTTTCCCTTTCAAAAATGCTCCTATAAATCTCCCTAGGCTGCTCATGTGATGCTGCACTGAATTATCACCACACGCTTTCCTCCTCATCTCTTCCCATTACCACTCTGCTTGTACCCTCTGCCCTGACTGCCCTCTCAAATCAAGTGTTGCTTTAGCCTCTAGTACTTTACCTCTCCATTTAAATCCCCAAAGATACATATTTTCAAGCTGTAATGACCAGTTTACACCTAGAGACAGAATTTTCTAGTCAGGCTAGAGGTGTGACTATCAATAAAGAACTTGTGTATCACAACTTGCCTCTGAAACTGGTTCCCTGCAGGGACTTCACCATGCCACTTCGCATTCACCATCCCTACCCGTAAACACTACATACTAAAAACTTAACCATTACATATATTGGCAGTTAGTTGTAGCGGTGAAGCATGGACACACAGACCAGAAATTTCATGAGTCAGGTGCCTCCATGGATCATTATAGTACGGAGTAAGTTTTCCCAAATGCTGTCAATAAATTCCAGCTCATTTTTGAGAGGAAGTGGCAAAGAGCATTGTCCCAGGAAAAGTATCCAAGAAAAATGTGATTTTAGTATGAAAATTTCCCGCTGTGATGGTACTGATACACGGCTGGTCCGTGGCTGGATACTACACTTGCTCATTGAGTGTCTGTGCTTCCAGTGATCTGCTCCCTCTCTAAACAAAGCACTCTTTTTACTGTCTCAGTTTCCACTGTATTAAAGAGAGACAACTAGATTTAGCCTCTTTGAAAAACATTTTTAGAACAATAGGAAAAAACAGTAGGTGAGATCAGAGCACTAAAGAAAGACTTGCTGTATCAATTAAATTAGCATGGCTTGTCACTCTCCCTCTCCCCCCCAACAAAAAAAAAAAAAAGTCAAGAGAGTAAGACAGGACAAGACATGACCAAACTCCAATGACAAGGAGAAAAAGAAAGTGATAGCATTTTCAACAATTAAAATAACATTAGGAAAATGACAGCAGAGCATGTCCCAAGCTAAAGAAGTCCAAGAGAGAAAAAAACAGTTGTGATCTATAATCAAATGATAGGAGCAGGGAGGCATAATGTATAAATGTGTAATATACTGTGTGCATTCACAGTGCATAGATTTTTTTCCCATTTAAATTATTACCTTACAGTAAGGCAATACTCTTCTTACCCGTCCATAGAGAAGGTTCATAAGGCTAATGTGAGTAATCACTTACGAGACCACTGGCCTCAACTTTAAATGAATGCGACTTAGATAATGATTTCTCTCCAGCTTCAAAGTCAAGACTCTTCAAAACAGCCAGCAGAAACAGTACAATAGATCTGTTTTGAAGACAGAAAACAAGAATCACTGTTCATGCACTTTTTTTTTGCAGTCTCCCAGCTGCCAGACCCATTCACATGAACAATGTTTGAAGTAAACTACCAGCCCCAGATCAAGTACACTTGATGTCAAAAGTGACTGGCTGAGGCAGACAAGTAATGCTTGGTGCCTGAACCCGACTCACAGAGGGGTTTAAGAAAAGATGAACTGGAATGCTGGTGCATGAAAAAAACATGAACCTGCCTCGCTGCAGCCATCAAATGGCTCTGGAATCCTTGGAACCAGTATTTCTTTGTACATAGGTAAAGATGGGCAACTGAAACCTGCCCTCAGTGAATGAAAGTCCTCGTAGGAAAGGGGTATTCATCCTTTTTTCTCGTCCCAGCCAGCTCTTGGCACCCTTTTGCTAATCTACAAAAAATGTTCAAGAGCTTTATGGGATTTTTTGCAGAGCAAGGAAGTTGATGCGAGTACACAATCA